GGGGGGGGGGGGGGAGGAGGATTTCTCTTCCTCCCTGCCCCGTGGTTTACACAAACCAAATTTGGTGGTCATAAAGCCAGTGCTGAGGTATTTCTGCTTTATCTTTCTTGGAAATGCTACATTAAGTTCTAGTTCTCATTATATCTTCCTCTAAACATTAATCTGTCATTTAACAAATTTGCTGAACTTGTTCTGTTCTTCTCGTGACCTTATGATTTTGCAGGTGTGTATTTTGGCAAGCAGTCAGATATTCATGGCTTTTGTCATGGTGGGAATTCTAAATGTGTTATAGACATGTCTGATTCAAAAAAACATATGGAAGAAGGTGATGATATAATCCATATCAAATGAAGTTAGTTTAATTGAACTGTTGTACTCGGAACTCCTGAGGAGTCCATGCTGTGAGGAGATGAGCTTTAAGGACTGTCCTGACACCAGCCTGCATGTGGCTAAGGCTCAGCTCTATAACTAAGGTGGTAGATTATTAAATAGTCTGGAAATACTACACCTTGAGTTTGCAAAATACTAAGTCCTAGTTTTGTTTTTGTCAGAGAAAGTGTCCCCTCTCAATGTATGTTGGCATTTAGGCACCTCACAGGTTTCAGGCAGATGGTAACAGTGGCAGCTCATGAAGAACTGGAAATGCAGAAAGTTGATTTGCTGTTGTCTTGCAAAGAAATTTAAGATCCACCAAATGTGCAAATGTGTAATTTGGGAAACTGCTGAACAAAATTTTCTGTAAATTCTTTTCCTAAAAGTTTGACATACCCCAATGAGTTGTTTGTCTAAGCACTTAACTCTCCTTGAAAATTTTTAATATATTTTTTTCATCTAGTGTTGTAAAATTCTACAAGAAGAGGCTTTTTATTTTCATATGATCAACATTTTGATAGCCTTGGATAGCAGCCTTTATTTTGTTGACAGATCTCTTGTAATTGATGTTACATAATTTTTTGTTTTCTCATTACTCCATTTATAATAAAATGATTTGGTTCAGTCCCAGATTCCCTATCATGCAGGTCTTCTGACATGTTTTTCTTAATTTATTTTTATTTGTTACTAATTACGCTTAATTATTTTGTCAATTTATGTGTTGTAAATGCTTCCTCTGAAGCGTAATTTGGTTAGATAGAACATGGAACTGCAAACCATGGTCTTTTATTTTACTCAAGACAAATGCTTTTTTTTTTCCAGACAAAGGTATATAAAAATATTTCTATCTAAAGGTGTATAATACATTTATATTTTTATTTACTATATACAATAATTTTGATGTAAAATATAATATGAATATTTATATAAACAATCAGGATGAATATGTATGTGTGCATGTATATTTGTCCAGATTAGTTGAAGTCGTATCTAGCTGAGCACTCAGCACTGTGATGTATCCAGCAGCTGATCCCTTATAATAGCTTCATGTTACTACATCCTTTATTTATTTATTATTTAATAAGGTTGCTGCATCAGCTTCTGCCAAGGAGCACAGCTGCAGGATAGCTGTTTGTCTCCATGATGACAATGTGTCCTGGTGACTTTTTCATTCAGTAAGGAAGTTACTGAGTATTTCTTGTAAGGAACTTTTGTCTTAAATTGATGGATTGATAAATAATGTAACGAAGGTTCTTTAATTCTTGTCTTGTTGTGCTGTATTGTAGAGGAACTCATCTTCAGAAAATAGAGTTTAATAGTATTAATAGCAGTCACAAGGTAAAATTATTTATAGTTAATATATATCCCTTGCATATAACTTAATACTACTGTTAAATATACAAATTTATTTAAATGGAAATATGCCTAATTATTAATATAAGATGGAGAAGTAGAGGAAAAACTGCTGCATCTGACAAAACTTCAAGTGGTAAATAAGATCCCCTTGTCCAGATCTGTTGCTATTCAGAACACACTTAGGAAACAGATGGAACTGGCTATGTTGTGCTTAGCAAATGACTGCCTGCCAACTCTGCCATGACTGTTAAATGCATGGCTTTAAGAGCTTTTCCTTAGCAAAATAGTGTTAAACCATAGCAGGAAAAGTCAAATAGGGTATGCTCTATGGAAAACTGTGTGCCCTGCTCTATTTATATGTACTTATTCTCCTGATCATCATCTGGAAATAGTAAAATAGAATAAGGGCAATGGCAAAGACTTGTATGAAGTACAATAAAGGGATGCATCACTTTGCCTTACAGATATTCTACCTAAAAATATGAGTGCTGCATCTTCTGTCAATTCAGGGTGCTGTTTGTAGCACCACTTCCTTGAATGTCTTCATTTTGCCAAATTACCTCATTTTTGAAATATGCAAGTGTTTCTATTGATGAGTCTTCTGGTTTATTACAGAAATGGTTCTTTATAGTGGTTTATTACCCACTAAAGAATAAGAATCTGCAAAAGCTGAGGTATTAAGGGTATAGATAACAAATATTGCAAGTAAATTATTATTGTGTTCATGCACTGTAGTGTTATTTCAGGTGATGTCACCTCCTCTTCAGCTGAAATGACTGATTTTTGTGATGGAACAGTATCTACTCCCACTCCTAAATGTTGTTTCAAGCATCAAGAGAACTTGGGTTTTTGTACAAATGAAATTTATTTGAAATTGTAGGTCCTCATATATCCAGGCCAGTTCCAAATGCCTTGCTGTGATAAAGTGTTTCTTTTAAAACTCAGACATTCTTTTCCAAAACAGAAAATGTTAAGTGCTACATCATCATAATTGTTTTCTTGCCTTTTGCCCCCCTCCACTTGCTGATTCTTTCAATTTAGTTACTATAGTACTAATTGGATTGCTGCTATTTAGTACCTCTTGAAATACATTCTCTAGAAAATAAATAGTTATTGCCTGGATAGCTGTCGTACAGGTGTGTTTTGAAACCTAAGTGTTATGTGGTTATAGGATGGTGTAAATCTGTGTCTCTAAATGCTCATAAGGATCATAAAAGAAGTCTGTCTGCATTGGACAACAACTGAAAGCTATTATTTATTGTGTTTGAATCTCTTTGTTCGGTTGTGTCTCAGCTGAGTAAGGAAGTTGAGGCAGCTATGTGGACACATCCAAAGTAACTTCTGATTAGAAAACTCAACTTTGAGTAGTGCTCTAAGTCGTATATACAACCATACTCATTTACTACTAAGTGCATAAATAATGTTGCTGTAATCTTGAATCTCATTTAAGGTTAAAGAAGAACAAGATGTAAAAAAATTAACCTTTTCCCCTCTAGAAGCCATGCAATCAATGAATGAATATAAAATAAAATGAATAATTTGGGAGAAAGGAAGACAGTGGTTCTTCATTATAAAATATGTTTATTTTGTATTTTGTCTTGCCACTTTCTGGTGGTGGGTTTTTTTTTTCCCTTAAGGTATCTGCAGGATAAGGATAAGGCCTAAAATTAATTTCTATGTTGTTCTTTGATACCGAGCTAAATGTCCACTGAAGGTCAAGAACTTACTTCTCTTTATTTCCAATAACTTCACAGGAGTCTTAAGCTGGAAAAAAATTTAATTCAGCCATAAGACCATTCAAGAAGGGATCTTCTTCCTACAGTGAGTGCAGGTTCCCTTCTGAGAGCCAAGCGCTGAAGAAATACTGGGATCATAATTTATGGCTCCTGAGTTTTTTTCTTCCTAATGTATTTTTCAGACTGTCTTTCCCCAAAGTAGAATTCTTACAAGCTTTTCTAAACTGTATTTTTTTTAAAAAGTAGTCTTTCTTTCCTAAATGCTCCTTCTTCCCTAGACTTTTTTTTCTTTCCAGCCCTAGTTTTTGTCTGTTTTGCAATATTGAAGTGTGTACATAGGATTAACAGTTCTATCCAGCGTTTTATTGGTGGTAATTGTGGTATGACTCAAAATGATGACTTGCAAGAAATCATGCAAGAAGGCCTTCTGTGTGTGAATGTTTGGAGGAAAAAACAGCTATTCATCAAAGTAAATGGTGTTTGTGCTCCTAAAGTGGAAGTAAGAGCATGAGATGTAATCATATGTTTCATCTTTGTTTATTGCCTTTGGACATCCCAGACAGACTGTTTCAAGTTGCAAAATGTTCAGCTGAGAAAATTCAATTTCAAAGCCAAAACTATACTGCAGAATTCTTCTAGAGTTCTTCCTTTAGCTGAAACTTTATTGAAGCACCGTAATTCATTGCTATTGATTAAAAAGAAAAATATACCTTGTCAAGCTTTGTTTTATAACTTAGTATTAATATTTATTTAACTCACAGAATAGAACATGGCTTAGATGCATACAGCCATGATATGTAGCTCTAATTATAAAATAAAAGTTCATAAATCTAAAACTACCCTTTTTTAAAATTGGTTGTTCTAAAAGCATTATATTAGACATTTAAGTTTAATATGTTAGAAGTTCATAATGGGAACTGGTTTCTAATTAGTCCCTTTGCTACTGCATTCTCGTTTATACTCATGCTAATTTGATTTTAATATTGTCATTTGTCTTTTAAGGAAATATAACAATAGCATTTCAGTGGAACAAAAGCCTACACAAGGTTATTTCAGTGAGTGCTGAAAGGAGTGGAACTCTGAGTTCATCCTTACACTGTGTTAGTCCGGCTTCATTCAAATAATGCTAATGAAATGAGTGTGCAAATTTTTGTGCTTTTTATTTTACTGGCCCCATGAATAATAGGACCCTGCGCTTGAAAGCCAGATTTAAGTTTATATATGGAGCTTGATGAATTTCTCTACCTTTATGTAGAAATGCTTTTAAAACTACCTGTAGTTCTAGGTAAGAGAATGAAGTTAGCATGTAGATTCCTTCAATTTCAAGATGTGATTTTGAGGCTTGAGTTGTGCATGATTTGGTGTCTATTGACAGTGCTTTAAAGAGCTTGCATAACTATCAAGTAAAACCATGCAGGGATAGAGAACTGATTTAATTACATTTCGGATGAGTGATCTCATCAGAATAGCAGCTAAGTGTGAGACATTGATAGTACAAAGAATGAATACCTTGATCTACATAAGATTGGATTAGATAGCAAATTTATGGAATTTTATAGTTAAGCCATATCATTCAGATAATGTAATTAATTTCATAGTACACCACTTATGACAGTTTATTTTCCTGCCTTCATAAGCATTTACTAGATGTACATGTACCTATGTAATAGTTACTCTTGACTTTTTCGTCATCATCTTTCTTCTATGTTCCAGTTTTACAGGTACCAGTACAGTGGGAAAGAGAAGCATGAGCCCTATTGAGGAAGAAACTGGTTCTGATGATATGGAAGAGGGAGAAGGCCAAGATCCAGAAAATGATCAGACAGACTCCTGTGCAGAGTCTCTTCCAGATGGTAAGAAGAGAGCCAAAAAGTTTAAAAAGATCAAGACAGAACAAGTTCCAGCAGGTAAGTGCAGTGTTCATTCATGTGGTTTTCTGTTCTGTTTGAAAATGTTCTAGGCCTGAACAGAATTGAAATTCTTTTCTCGAATGTCTTTGCTTCTAGCAGTAACTTACTCCACCTTCTTCTTGAAACTGAAGACTGCATAATATAAAAATGGTAAAAAAACTCAACAAACAAACCAAAACAACATCAAAAAGCAAAGAACTCACCCCAAACCAAAAAACTCACTACCAACCAAAACCCAATCTGACACTAGCCAATGGAATCAGAATGTGGTTCATTTATTCCTTTTGCTTACTTTCTTCCTTAAAATAAAACTTTTTGAATATTTTTTTAGATGTTCTTAATTTTTATTTTAATATGACTGTAGTTAGGGTTACTCAATGTGTTTTGCATATAGTAAGCGAAATTTATGGCACTCTGTTTTGATGTGTGCATACGTTCAGTTTTGTGGGTGGTGTATGTAACTATAATCTTTATTGTGCTGTATTTGGCTGAAGACTTTCCACCTAGGATTGGTTTGAAGGTGGGTGTTTTCAGATTTTAATGTCTATATATTTTTTTAGCCAAAATACTTGGAACTGAACGTCTGACTAAATGCAGGCAACTTACAATCAGATGATGATGTTTCACATTGTAATTTTTGCTGGTTTATGAGTTACTGTAGCTTGTACAAAAAAAGTAAATAACCTTAGATCACATTAATTTAAACATCAATAAAAATAAATTATTGATCTATTCATTTGATTTTATTTCAATGTTTGTTAGTAATTTCTTGCAGAAATTGGACTATAATAAAATTAAATAGTATCTTAATTTGGTCCAGATGATCATACCGTATTAGTCATCTGGAGCACTGCCTGCATTGAAGTATATTCTAATATTTGCAATTGAAGCTTCGTTTCAATAACTGCATTAGCAGCTTTTATCAAGAAAGTGGTATTGTATACCAGGCATCCTTTCTCCTGACTTGGTAGAGTAAAATCTCTTTGCTGATTCAAAAGATGTGCTTGGAACTGCTTTCTTCTTTTTATTCAGAAGGGCAGTTGGGGCCTGTAAACATATGCAAAATGACAAGAATGGCTACGGTAATTCCGAGTATAAAATTCAGGCTCTGTATTTGGCATTATAGGAATATGTGTTACTGGTATTAGTGATTCATCTTTATTCTCCAATTAATATGGGACTGAAATATTCTTCCCTGTCTTAACAGTCTAAACAAAAATAATGACAAGTACACTTGGGAAAATAGTATTTAACTTTATTATCCCGGTAATTGCAAAACCAGAATGTTGTAATGCAGTACCAAAAATACCTAATTACTAGGGTTAAGAATACAGTATTTATCATTTAAGTAAAACACCTAAAATTAGCCTTTATTTTTTCCCTTCTAAAATATTTAAGTACCTATTCATAAACAGTCTCTTGGTTTCTCTTTATAATATTGACTTGCCAGTAATGTATCTAGAGCCTCTCTCTATAGGAAAATATGTCTTAATATCCTCTGAAAGAACAACAAAAAAAATCTTGATTTAATTTTTATTCCATGATTCTGTCTTCTAGGAAGCCTCACAACTAGTTCCACTGGGATCTTTGAGGTCCCTGAAACATGGTAGGAAACAACTGCCTTAACAAGTGGAAATGACTGAAAGCAGTTGAGAGAATACACCTCTTGGAAGCCATACTTTATTTAAATAAAGTGGTGTTAACAAAGCAGTATGTGTCCTGAAAATCAGTTTAATTATTTTAAACTGTTTCTTGAACAATCACTGTCAGTTTTACTCATGTGTATATCACCTAGTATATGACTTGTTGTTGATCCTGTGAAATCCTTGCTGTTGTAACTGATGTTAGGTTTAAGAAGCAAGACTCAATGTCCTTTGGTCACCTCCTTTTGCATGCTGGTTATGAGCTGTACAAGAACTGGCACTCTGTGATTTTGTGCTAGGCTGTTTCCTCTGCCTGGGGAGTTACCACAGCTCTCCTAATATTTAGCTATTCTTTGAGGCAGCATCACTATGCTGTCAGCATTCTGGAAACAGGTAGAACTGCAGTTTCACATATTGCTTTCTACCTGTTACTTTGTCCAGGAACATTTTTGAAATTCTGTTCTCTACCCCCACCCCCAGTGCAGGTGGTATTCATCTAAATACCAGCCTTACATATACCTTACCCTTTCAAAAAACTGTAACTTAAAAGTTTCTCAAACATTAATTTCCTGGTGGGAGGTAGTTTTTCTTTGTTTTCACATCTGTTGTTTCCACTTTTAAATCCTGATTTTGTAAAAAATGTTTTTTGGTACCTGTGATAAACCTGCTAACTGCACCAGCCCTTTAGATTTCAGAAAATGTTTGATATTTAAATTTTTGTATCATGGAAATAAAACCAAAATATGTATTTCCATAACATGAAAATTAAAGACATTTTCTTAGGAACTGGTTTGTTTTTATTTATTAGCATCTAAAACAGTGTGAGTGAATTTTTTTTTTCTTCTTCCTAATATTTTTTTTCATCCTGTGAGTAGCAGACCCTTTTGTTCCATGGACTATTTTCAAGATATTTGTGAAATGTAACCAAGAAAAGCAAGCCTATTGTCATAAGATTTAAATAGCTATGTGTTTGCCTTGGAGGGGTGAAAACAAAAGAATTCTACAAATCAGCAAGTTCAAAGCCATTTCTGTGGAAAAGTGGAATATTAAGAAGGCTTCATAATATTATATTTACACTAGAGTGGGAACCACTGTCATTTAAACATGGAATAACCTGTTTGAAGGTATGTTTTTAAATGATTGTGAACTTCTATTGCAAAGGGAAAAATAATTTCAAGATGTTAAATGTGAAATGTTGCATTTCTAACCTTAGAATATTCCCAGAAGTACTATAATTAAATTGTTTAATAGCAGCTCTATCATCACATTCTCACACTAAAATGTGGGAAAGAAGACTTGCTATTAGTGATGCAAGGGAAAATTACTAACTGAACTCTTCTGCTCTCAAGGATCCAGAGGCTTTTCTTCCCCACAACTCATGACCTTAGGCCTAAATACTTAAATCACTTTCATCTTGAGTATCCAAACCAATTGTAAATTTAGTTCTCAGAATATGTGAACACCTAATAAGTTGTATGGAGTATTCATCTCTCATTGAGATGTAAATCACACAGTGTTCTATCCAAATTTTGGAGTGAGTTATTAACTGTATATCCTAAAGAACTGGCATAGCATGATTTGGGACAGAGCTTGAGTCATGATGACAAAAGGGTACAGAAACATTTAAAGAGATTGTCATAAGTACAGGTTAAGGGGCAAGGAATTAGCTGCTCAAAAGACAGAGGGCCACACTGTCACAGAGAATCCACCTGGAGTCTGTACCCCAAGGCCATTAGGATCTTCTTTACTCATGAAAGCAATGCTTACATACCTGCAGGGAAAATACATTACAATAAAATCCCTTAAAACTTGTTTTTTTCAGAATAGCTATATATATACATCTGTACACTACAGAGGTTAACAGCTGTACCTGCTATTTCTATTTTCAACCTCCTCTCAGTTGTCATTTTGAGAAGCTGGCTGTTACTGATCTCTGTCAGTAATTAATACCACCTAAGAAAACGCGGTTCTTCCACGCCCTAGTCTTTATCTGTGTTTGATTTTACCAATTGACATCTGGGTTAACTACTTAACTGTGGTGGATGGGGCAGTAATATTTCTGACACTAAATTCGGTTGGATGAATGCCAGAAGTCAGGGCCGGTGGTGTCCTAAGCAGGGATTGACGCCCCTCATCCTTCACCAGACCTCACTGGTGTGTGGGGTTTGGTCCGCTTCACTGCGCCTTAAATGAAGTCATTAATTCTAGGAGGGAAAGAATGCAGCTTAAATTAGATCCATATTTGTTTCATAATGTATGTTTAAAACATGTGCATAGAATTTGTTTTGGGAAAGCAAAGCTGTCATCGCTAGTTGTGATGGCTCTGGGGCTTCCTGGTCGCTGGGCGTTTGTGCTGTTATTGACTCCAGAGGTCAGTGAATCACAGACTGTCCCGAGGATGGTGGAGTCCAGCTCCTGGCCGTTCAGCGGGCAGTCCCTAGCCTCCCCCGTGTACCTGAGAGCGTTGTCCCGGCGCCTCTCGCCCTCGGCTGCTCCGCTCCCCTCAGGGCCGGGCGGGCACTGGCGGCGTGGCCGCCGCCTCTCCCCTCCCCTCCCCGCCGGCCGTGTGGGGCTGGGGGCTGCAGCCGCCCTGAGGGGCTGTGCTTGTGCCTTCCGGCTGGCTGGAGGAGCCTGCATGACCTTGCCCTCGGCAGTGCTGACGTGGAGCGTTTTCCGCAGCAGCCGTGAAGCGGCTTTGCTGCGGCGGCGGGTCTCGCGCGTTCCTGCTTGGGGCAGGGTCAGGAGCGGCCGGCCCTCATCGCTGCCTCTGAGGGGGGACGCTGAGGAGAGTGTAGAAAGCAACAAGCAACGCTGGAAGTAGGCGTTGAAGGAACTGAGGAATTGCCTTGAGAAAATGAGGGAATTCTGTGAGAAGTGTTTGAAAAAAAAAAAGGGCGCTTGGAAGTGTAGGCCTGAACATGGGGGTATCTGACGAAATAGTGTGGAGAAACATGAGGGAGGTCTGGCTCAGCAGCAAGTGAGGTAGGTGAGCTGAAACCCTGCCACTATGAGGAACGAGAATGGGCTTATTTGGCTGGAACTTAGACTTGACAGTGGTAATTTATCGGTGGTGATGGAGTACTCTTGTCTCCAGACAGCAATGTCTGGAGTACATTGCTCACCTCAAAATGCATGCTAAAACTGTATGTGAAATAATAATTTTCAAATTCATCTCAAGTATTTATGAGTGAGAAGTGCTAATGAGTCAAAATGCCTAGGATTGCAGCACAGGATATAGGAAGTTGCTGGTAAACAAGAAATAGAGATAATTGTGTAGTGTAGACTAAGGGCAGAGTGTGTTTCCCTAAAGCATGGTTTTGAATGGGGACAGGTAAGAGACTGAATGAGTCTTACATGAAATTAAGATTGCTGTGAGTGCAATGGCCTGTTCTTGGTCTCAGATTTGAACTTATGGTTTGGAGCAAAAAGTTAACAGCTTCAGATAATTTAGCTGGAGACCTAAATTCTATTATGGAACCAGTGGTAAAACCAAGAGAGATAGAAAGCTAAAACTTCTGGTTATTGTGGGAAAAAATAAATGTTGTAATTCTTTCTTTAAACTTTTGAGTTCTGTCATGATGCCCAGAAAATGTCTGGTACCCTGGATGTGTTCACTGTCTTTAAATCATGGTAAATGTAATGCAGACAAAAATGTCCTCTGCAATTCAGCGTCAGAGCATAAAGAAGACTCCTGACAATTAAGTTCTTGGCTTCTGATGTGTTTAGACTACTGCCAGCTGAGCAGATGTGTACATTGAAGAAGATTCCTCCGCAGAACATTTAGTAAATGAATAAACATTTGCTTGTTTGTATTGTACTGTTACAGCTTTAAACTTACACTAAACTAACGCTACATGTATACTTTACAGATATACTGCCACATGTTCACTGGATGAGGAGCAATGGATGGTGGGTTAGACTGAGTTTTATAGGATCAATGTATTTATATTTAGGATGTTCTTTTTGCTTTAATAGGTATGCAGTAAACTCATTTAAAAAATATTTTTTTTTTCAGTCAGAGTAATTATTGGCAGCCATGTGCTTCCATGAGCGCTATAGCAGTTCACAAGTCAGTCCCAGCTCAAGGGAAACTTATATGGAACACACCTCTTCAGAAGTGTAGTATAGAAAACATTCAGCCAAAGTGGGAAAAGTTAATTTCACTGCACTTACATGAATTTCTTAAAGAAGCTAATAGTTTTATTTGTACATGAGCAGCCTACAGTCTGCAAGTTTTACAAACAATTGTGGTTTATTACCAGAGTGACCCTGTATGATGGGGTTGGTAGTCGTGTGCAGCTGAGCATAAAAGTCTGGAGGTTGTGGCTGTGCTGATCCACTTGAACCCTAATCTGTGACCCATTTTCAATCCATCAAATGACTGAAAATACAATTGTATTAAAGCTGATTTCTTAAAAAAAAACTTTTGAAGTTACCAATTCCTTTTATATGCCTCAAAAAGCTTTGCGCTGTAACTGAGGTAAGAATGGTTATTTTATTGAATTATTATTGATTTTAAATATGTATTATAATTCTGAATATTTCCTTCAAATGAGATTTTAAACTTAGAATATTTAACTGAATGCGTTTAGGTCATGTATATACTCAGGGATGGGGTTTTTTTTGTTTGTTGTTGTTTTTTTTTATTAGACATTAGGTGACTTAATTGTAGGATGCTTCTTACTTCAAAAATATGTCTGCTCCAAGCATATGCATGTGTCTACCATTTAAAATTTTTGCATTAGGGTAAGTTGCTTGCCTCATTTGCAATAAATAACTTATACATGTTTGCTAACAATACCATAGTAATTTAAAATTGACCCTCCCTTCTCTTTGGAAAAGGTCTATGCTTCAGCCTTTCCTTTCAGTTCTCTCATATGCTCGATTTAATTTCAGTGATTTTTTTTGATGTGCTGTTGAGAAGCTGCGAGTTACCATTAGAAACTTGCTACAATGGTGTAGAACTGCTGAAAGTGGAAATAATAGTTCAGTTGTTTGCTCCTGTGCTGAGCTGTTGCCTTCAATGAATAATGCAGTGTTGTAAAGAGATGATTTGCCAGAGAATTTCCCCTCAGTATTGCTGGACTCCCTCACCCGTAGACTAATAACCCTTTCTTCTGGGTTGTGCCATACTCCCCTGGGGTTTTACAGTAATTGTTACTAAAACAGATTAAAAGATGGTGGTAATGAGTCTGTGAAGAAGTTAATGGGAACTGGCAAATTTTAGGAGTTAAATGAGGTGTTGCTTGAAATGTTTAATATTCCATTCTCATAGAACAGATCACTGTATTTTTAGTACTTCAGTCAGGTTTCTTAATTGAAGTAAATTCTTCTGTCTCATAGAGGGTGTAGCTCTAAGGTGTTCTAAAGTGTTTATAACATCTTAATAATAATTTCTAATGGATATTTGCAATTATGTGCAGAGGATTTTTTGAGACTCATGACTTTGGTTTTTAATCATGTCCAAGAGCAGGAATTTAACATCTAATTGTTCATTTAGTTCATGTCCAATATGAAATTTGGGATGAGGATGTGTCTAATGTAAAATGGAGATTCAATGGCAGAATCCCTTGTTAAATACCTTTTAGCCTTTTTATGCCGTTCTTTCTGCTTTTTGAAGAAAGACCTAGAAGAATTAGACTAAATATAAACGAAATATGAAAATATTTTAGACTGATAGTTTTAGGAAATCCCTCTTTTCCTTACAACCACTCTGAAACATACTTTGAAACACTTACGTTGACAGTAGCAATTAGTAAATTCCATAGCTCATACTAAAATATAAA